CTCAGGTCCTCCTGACTTCAGGGACAGTGCTCTATCCACTGTACCACCTAGCTGCCCCTTCTTAATTTTTTATATCACCCCATCAAAGTCAACTTATATTCTCACCCTCTGTCTATGTATATTCCTTCTTACTGCTCTAATAGAGATACAGTTCTTAAGAGTTACAAGCATCATCTTCCCATGTAGGGATGTAAACAGTTTAACCTTATTGAATAACATATGTTTTTTCTTTCCTGTTTACCTTTTTATGCTTATTTTGAGTTTTGTATTTAAAAATGGAATTTTCTGTGCCACTAATGCATTGTTGGTGGAGTTGTGAAATGATCCAACCATTTTGGAGAGCAATTTGGAACTATGCTCAAAGGGCTATAAAAATGTGCATACCCTTTGACCCAGCAATAGCATTTCTAGGGCTGTATCCCAAAGAGATCACACAAATGAAAAAAGGACCTACAGGTACAAAAATATTCATAGCAGCTCTTTTTGTGGTGGCAAAGAATTGGAAATTGAGAGGATACCCATTAATTGGGAAATGGCTGAGCAAGTTGTGGTATATGAATGTGATGGAATACTATTTTATAAGGAATGATGAACAGGCTGACTTCAGAAAAACATGGAAGGACTTGTATGGTCTGATGCTAAGTGAAGTGAGCAGAACCAGGAGAACGTTGTACACAATAACAGTCATGTTGTATGATGACTAATATTGATAAACCTAACCCTTCCTGGCAATACAAGGACCTAAGACATCTCCAGAGGCCTTGTGATGGAAAATGGTATCCACACCTAAAGAAAGAACTATGGAAACCGAATTTCTCTTCTGTTGAGTTTTGTTTCCTCTTTCTGATGGTTCCTCCTATTGGTTTTAATTTCTACTTACAACATCACTAATATGAAAATATGTTTAATATGAATGTAAATGTATAGCCTATATCATATTATGCGCTGCCTTGGGGAGGGTGGTGGAGAGGAAGGGGGAGAAAAATTTTAAACTCAAAAACATATGGAAGTGATTATTGATAAATCAAAATAAATTAATAAAAAAAATAAAGTACTATATAAATACCAGCTTAAAAAATGGAATTTTCTGTTTAGTTCTGGTCTTTTCATCAGGAATATTTGAAAGTCTCCTATTTCATTGAATGTCCATTTCCCCCCTAGAATATTATGCTCAATTTAGCTGGGTAGTTGATTCTTGGTTGTAATCCAAGCTCTTTTTGCCTTCTGGAATATCATATTTCAAGCCCTCATTCCTTTAATGGAGAAGCTGCTAAATCCTATGTAAGTCTGACTATGACTCCCTGACATTTGAACTGTTTCTGGCTGCTTACAGTATTTTCTCCTTGACCTGAGAGTTCTGAAATTTGGCTATAATATTTCTGGGACTTTTAATTTTGAGATTTCTTCCAGGAAATGATTGATGAATTCTTTCAATTAGTATTTTACCCTCTGGTTCTAGGATATCAGGGCAGTTTTCCTTGATAATTTCTTGAAAGATGTTGTCCAGGCCCTTTTTTTGATCGTGGCTTTTAGGTGGTTCAGTAATTCTTAAATTATCTTTCCTGGATCCATTTTCTAGATCAGTTGTTTTTCCAGTGAGGTAGTTTATGTTTTCTTCTATTTTTTCAGTTTTTTTATTTTGCCATAGAGCCATTAGTTTCCACTTGCCCAATTCTAATTTTTAAGGAATTATTTTCTCCAGCTAATTTTTGTACCTCCTTTTTCATTTGGTCAATTTTACTTTTTGAGGAGTTGTTTTCTTCATGAATTTTTGTGCTTTTCCCATTTTTTTGTGCTTCCTTTACCAAGCTGTTGACTGGCTGTGCTGAGGCCTCTGGGCCTGCCAGGCCTGCTGCATTGAGGCTGGAGGCCTCACAATTAGCTCACTGTACCTCTGACTTGCTGAGTCATTAGCAGGAGACCTCAGCTGTCGATCTGTGCTAAGGCTAGGGGTCTCCTGCTGGCTTGCCCAGAAACCACCTATACTTGGCTGTGCTTTCCTTTTACCCAAGTGAGAAAAGCCTTTCCTGCAGTTCTTCTAAGTTATCTTGGGCTGGAAAATTGGTTCACTCCATTCTTTTGTAGGTTATGTCACTCCAGAGGCTTGATTTAAAGTTGTTTTGAGGGAAACTGGGGGGAGCTCAGGCAACTTCCTGCCTTTTATCCATCATCTTGGTTCCACCTGTCTGTCTTATAAATGTCAAATAATTTGATACACAAACACACGTATACATACACACATACATACATGTGTGTATATATATGTATATGCACATATGTATACCCCCAAATCAAAAGCCAAAAAAGGTGCCACATATACCAAAGTCTTCATAATAACAAAATACTAGAAAAAAAGCAAATATCTAAAATACAGTGATACATAGTAATGATAATAGCTAACATTTATATAGTGCTTGCTATATGCTTACATAGTAAGCACTTGACAAATAATTGTTGACTCACTGATTTGGTGAGCATCAAATAAATTGTTGAATCTAATCTTTATCTATCTATTTTTCTTCCTATCTATTGTCCAGACCTATTTTTTAGGTACAGTGAACTCACTGGGGTAGAAATTTACTTAGCCAATATAGATTGGCAATGTATCCTTGACCTATAGTCAAACAGAATTGTTTCAATTGCTGAGAAGTTAATGATTTGCCTTGGTCACACAGTTCATATCTGAAGCAGGACTAAACCCAGATCTTCCCCACTCTGAGTCCATCCTGTATCTCTTAGAAGTATAATAGAACATTGTTGGATTATGAGAAATTAGAAATAAAAGTTTCAGAGAAACATGAGAGATCTTGTATTAATGGATGTGGAGCAAATTAAGCAGAACCAAAGAAATGTTATATAGAATAACTACAACAATGCAAATGAGGACAACACTCAGAAGCAGTTGAGTCCAAATTGGAATGACAAGTCTTAGTCCCAAAGAACAGAAGATGAAACATATTTCCCTCTTCTTGGTAGAGTTATGAGAGCTAGGATATGCAACATTTTGAATCCTTAAAGGATTAAAGAAATATGTTGCTATCTTCACTACCCTTCTCCCATCATTGCCAAGTTGACTAGGCCAATACAGAGGAATGTCTGTTGGTAGGGAAGGAGTCTCCTAGTGTTCTTCTCCTTGTTTCCCAAAGAGAAAAAGCTCAGGATATTTTGCCCTGATCTTGGGAGTAGCAGACAGATTAACTTGGATTCATATTTTAGCTCCTACTATTTTTTGAAGTTGTGGGAAGAGAAAAAGGAAGAAGCAGAAATATCTAGGAGAGGGAAAGCATTGCAGACATAGACACCATAGAAGTGAAAGAACAGTTGTAGTCAGGAGGTTGCCAGTGTTTAAATCCTTTGACTCATGCATAAGGCATTCAGAAGGAGATCCTATGTTGCAGAAACTCAGTAGAACTGCATACTAAATTTAGGCAATGATTCTTCATTTTCCTTCTTTTATTTGTTTTCCTCTCTTCTAATAGGGCATGTGTCTAAATTTTTGCCACTGGAGACGGACAGGCTTATTAGTGTTTTTCTAAAGTTTATTTACCCCTTTGTGTTTAAACTTTACCCTGTCTTCTAAGTTGGAAAATGTGACGAAGTTGTTAACTGTCTGAATTGCTAAACTGTATGTTTTTTTTTCTTTTTAGGCAATTGGGGTTAAGTAACTTGCCCAGGGTCACACAACTAATAAGTGTCAAGTGTTTGGTCTGAGGCCGTATTTGAATTCAGAGCCTCCTGACTTCAGGGCCAGTGCTCTAGCCACAGTGCCACCTACCTGCCCCTGAACTGTGTGTTTAGTGTGTTTAAATGCAGCTTTGAGAGGATAAGTTGGGAAAATGAAGAGGGGAGAGGGAGAGAGATTTAAAACCGTAGTATTTTGTCAGAGTGCATTCTCTGGCTGGGGGCTCAGAGGTAGAAATGAGATATTGTTTTAGTTTTATAGATTTTCAGAGTATGCGGAATACTGGAGTTAGTCCAGGAAAACAAGCCAGTAGCATTAGTGGGGCAGTGACTTGACTGGGTGTCATTGAGGTAGGCGCATGTTATTTTCATGGGCTTGATTTGAATAGAAAATCATTCCCTACAGGGAAGAGTCACACCCAAGGACAGGAGTAGCTTGGCCTACAAAAATGGCTAGATGAATATTTGCTTGCCTTCTCACCAACTTAGTGTACAACTACCTCCACTGTCTCATTAACAAGAGTGAAGTTAGTGGTCATGATGGAAGGTGGTAGGTCAGTAAATGACTACAATGTAAAAAAAAAACCCAAACATTTAAAGAAAATTTAAGTGACATATCCAAGATCACACAAGTAATAAGTAGCAAAGCTAGCATTTCATTATTGGGTGAAATTTGGAGACTTTAGAGGCCATTGAGTCCACCCCCTCAATTTACAGAAGAGGAGACTGAAACACAAAGAGGTATGCAAGGTCCCATAGGTGGTAAGTGTCAGAGCTGGCATTCAAGCCCAGATCACCTGACTCCAAACCCATCACTCTTTGCAATGCATCATGCTGCCTGGTCTCTAGGTCACTTCCCAAAAGCCAAATCAAACTAACATAGCTGAAGCATAACAACATGCTAATATAGGTTTTAGTGACATTACCACCATGAAGAGCAATGTTTCTATGGGAAAACATTTTCAGATATCCTATTTACTGTTTCTCTATTTCTGTGGAACCAAAATAATTTACCTACCTACTTCCTTTTCTATTCCTATCACCCAATACTTTAGATCTCAGTTTATGTCTTTCTTTGGCTCACTATAGGTTAAGATGCATTCTTATTGCTTCTTCCACACATGCCACATGCTGAGGCACCACAGACTTTCAGTTACTCTAAAGATGTTTTAAACCCTATTGGTGTGAACAATGAGGAACAGAGATTGTCAAGTTTTAGGATGTCCTTCAAAATTTCCCAGTGTGGGTTGTCCCAGAGAGTTTTACCCTAGACTTTCTTGTTTATTAGCTTGCAGCTTGTTCATTATCCCCATATTTACCTTTGTTCTCTTGGTAGTAAATGGCAGAACTGAAATGAGATGTGAAGGCAGATAATTGGGCTTTAAGGGCTAGCTCCAGCATGACCTTGGGCAAGTCACTTAACTGTTGCTTGTGGCCAGGAATGGATTTATTGGAGGTACGACCCTGCAAAGCTTCTCTCTTCTTTAAACTTTAGGCTTCAGCTGAAAGTCCTTAGCTGAGGAGCTAATTTTCCCCTGAAAGATGAAGAATGGGCTCTGCTGGTTTTCTTTTAGTTTAGAGAGCAAAGATTTAAGATTCAGATCTTTTATAATTGTTTTAGGAAAGTTTATTAAGAGCTTTTTAAGGCAGAGCCTTAAGGCCAAGGAACACAGAGGGAAAGATATGAATGATGAGTCAACAAAAGAATCTCAGAAGGGATGTTCAGAGGAGTAGGTGGATTATGAAGAGAATAGTGTCAATGAAACTCTCACTGGGGAGCAAGTTTATCTCAGGTGGTCAAGAAGATAAGGCTTGAGGAAAGATCATCAGTTGAGTGCTTATAGAGGGAGCTAGCCTTAAAGGAGTACCAGATACCAAAGATCCCAGTTTTCATTTTAAGCCAATGAGTCAGAAAAGTAAAAGATCCCCATAGTGTACCTGGGCCATTTGTGTTAGGGGAGCCTCTGACAAATAAAAAGGTTCATCCCTCCTTCCTTCCTTCCTTTCTTTTTGACATAAAAGTAAATATATAGATAAGCATATATGAAACAGCAAGGCAATTTGAAGGACAGGAGGTGGCATGTGATAGATGGGATCAAACAATTTCCACCACTTAGACTACCATCTCCCCTCAGACTCCAGTGGAGATAGTCCAGGACCTTGTGCCCCAAACTTCTAGGAATAACAGCACTCCCAGGCCAATAGCTCTGCTTTTAACCCAACTTCCTTATAGTCATCATCCAAAGGAATAGTTTCTATGGAGAAGGGGTCTACTATCTCTACCACCACTGATATCAATTGCCAGACATAGGCTTCTGATGGTAAAGTGATCTCAAGATTTTGTGGAAGAACAGTGCACCATCCCTAGATTACTGGCTCTGATTTCAGCCTTTTCCCCTCACCAGTCATCATCCAAGGGAGCAAATTTTGTGGAGATGCAACCTGGCAACTGCTTCTGCAGCAGCTGTAGCCTCAGCAGCCTCAACACTCACAACTACTAAAGACTCAGAAAGGAAGTTCTTATCATCAACTGGTTCAACAATAGAAACTGATATGGTTTTATTAATGGAAATGTAGCTAAGGAAGACAAATTCCTATTTGCTTTTCCACTATGCCCTAATGACCACTGAGTCTTTCCTTTGTATGGCAGCTGATATTTCCTATTAGAAAATGAACTTATAGTGAACAAGGACTGTCTTACTTTTCTTGCCCTTGAGGTTTACCCAGGCTCAACTTGGGGAACCTGACCTCTCAGTAGAGGAAGTAGGCTCCTCATTCTCACAGGAATTGATTCATGCTCCCTTCTTGGAAATTCAAATTTTTTTTTTGCTCTTGTCTAAGGATCTGCCCCAGCATGGGGGAAGAGTGAAAAAAAGGTATACTGAGGACATTAGGTGTGGAATTGATAATTTTATTACCATGTAGAAAAGGGAATGATAAACTATAAATAACTGCTCTGGTAGCTGCTATCCTAATATTCAGATGCCAAGGAAGAAGAAGACACAAGTCAGTTGACACATCTCAGGCACAGACTTTACTAGGAGGCAATAAGTTCAAAACCAGCCAGGTGGGAGGAAGTGTATTCCCTATATCCTGCCATCCTTGACCTTCAAAGCCGGCAGGAAGAGGAAGCCCAAAGGACAAGGATTTCCCTTTTAGTATATATAGCATTCCCTTTAGTATATATAGAATTCTGGCTCAGCAATCAATTAAAAGACTTTTCATCATCATACAGTAAAAACTCCTGAGTCATCATGGCAAATAAGAAGCAATGAGAAGATATCTGCAAATATTCTGAAATGACAGTATTGAAGGAGATGGGACCCTCCTTTACACATGCCCAGAAGCAGGCCTATCCCAAGTTTGCATGCATTTGTCTGGTATGTCTGCTGAGCAAGCTCTAAAGAGGCGCAAAGGGGAGCATTACACATCTGACAGCTTTAAAATTCTGTGATTTATTGTAACTGACTCAACAAAGAACTGTTACTGTGGCCATAACACATCAGTTGGGGCATTCAACTATTTTATATAGAATTTTTATGATACAGTTTTACCTGTACCTAGAAAAATAGAAGCTTTGCTAAGCAAATTAATAGTGCAAACAAGGGAAATACTAGGCTAATTAAGTAGCATCATTTGCATTCAAACAATGCATATGATAATTTTAAAAGATTGTCAGACTCAATTTCTGACTTTATGCAATAAAATGCACTAAAACTACATTTCTTTCAGGGGAAAAACCATGATACTCAGATGGTATTGTTCTATGGAATACTTTTAATAATTTTTTATGACTGGGAGGATTTCTTCACCTTCCTGGAATTGAGAAGATACTCTTGATGGGCTGCCAGGTCTTCCTGGTGTCAGGCTCCAGGAGGGATGGATGAACTAATTTTGTATTACCAAGAAAATTGCTTCAATTTCAGGATGTCAGTTTGGAGTTGTCCACAGAGGCATGAATTAACTTTAGCTTCTCCCACCAAGATAGGCTGGATGATTCATATAGAGATCCTCCTAGGGACTCTGATATAGGCTATGCTCATACCACTTCAGAGAAAGCTCAACCTGTCAAGGGCTCTGGAAACCAAAGGATATGATAAATGGGGTATGCATGTGTAATAAATGAGACTGTCTCATCTATCTGGGACAGATGCTAATATCAAAGAAAAAAAAAACTTGACATGGTTAGACATGGAACCCAACCATTCACCACGGTTATTACTACCACCACGGAGATGGGATTCAAGACTGAATAAAATGAAGATAGACACAATCCTGTGCAGAGAGATCAGAAATAAGAATTCTTGCATAAATATTTCTATTCTGACCGTATTGGATGAGCAATGGTTTATCTTTATATTTTAATGCTATAATCATTAGGCAGGGGAAGGGAAGGGAAGGTTAATGAAGGGAAGGGGAACAGAGCAAGTATTTATTTAGCACTTACTATGTGCCAGGTACTATGTTAAGCACTTTACAAATATTATCTCATTTGATCCTTGCAACAACTTTAGTATATGGTACCATCATTATACCCATTTTGCAGTTGAAGAAACTGATAGAAACTGATACAAACAGAAATTGAGGCAGAAGTTCCTCACTAGGAATTCTCTAAAACTGTAAAAAGAAAGAAAAAAAGACAGAAAGGAAGAAAGAAAGACAGATGGTAAGGCAACATGGTGTAGTAGAAAAAGAGCTGGTTTTAGAGTCATGAAAATCTGGGTTCAAGTCTTACCTCTGACATATATTGCTTGTGTGACTCTGGGTGAGTTACTTATCTTCTCACTGTCACATGCAACTCTTTAGGACTTTATGTTATGGAGAACTTGATGATCTGTATTGGCTGAAGCTATTTCTTTACCAGGAGTTTGTTATACCAATGAAATAACAGATTTTTGCAGTTCCTGCCTTCCCCCATCTAACAATCATGGATTGATTCAGAATACCCATGCATGATAAAACACCTAGATGAAGCCCTTCAGTACGAGTCAGTTTCCTATGGAGAATTTATCAGAGGGGGAATGGTTAAGAATTGCATAGATTGTAAGTTTCTTGACAGCAGGGAGTGCTTTCATTTTTAATTTGGATCTGCATTGTTTTAACATTGTGCATGGCACATAGTAATTGCTTAATAATGTTACTTGATTTATTGATTGATGAGGAAATATGAATGGGTTGAAATTTGTACTAGTAGAGAGATTGTTGTTGTTGAGTCATTTCAGTTGTGACCCTATTTAAGGTTTTCTTTGCAAAGTTACTGGAGTGGCTTGCCATTTCCTTCTCCAGCTCATTTTACAGATGAGGAAATTGAGGCAATTAGAGTTAAGTGACTTGTTCTAAGTCACACAGTTAAGAAGTGTCTGAGGCTGTATTTGAATTCAGGTCCTCCTAACTTCAGGGCTGGTGCTCTATCCACTGCACCACCTACCTGTCCAGTAGAGAGATTACTACCCCAACAACGAGATCACGGATCTGTTGATACATAATTTTACAATATGAATGAAAATGACAAAACTTTGTAAGTGAATTAATACCACCCCACTTTTTGAGCCAAGTCCAGAATAGAGCAAAAGGGAGAGATCAGGCTGAATCACATTTGCAAAACAGTGTAATGCTTTCAGGGCACCTAAGTGGTGCAGTGGATAGAGTTCAGGGTGTGGAGTCAGGAAGACTCATCTTTATGATCTGATATTTTGGATGACTGGAAAAGGAAGGGATTGATCATTATCAAGACCAAGATATAACTATATATAGCCCAAGTAGTTTATTGGTAATCCTGAAATATATATGATAGAAAAATAGATATACACACATAATATACCCTAAAATATGTATTTAAAATAAATATATTTATATATTATATGATTACATATACAATGTTTTTTAAAAAACAAACTTCTAGAAAGCTGGGCAAATCCTTTGGAGGGAGATTTTTTTTTGGAAAGAAACAATATTGCAGGATGGGAAATTGAGGCAGGCCTATCATTGAAGAGAGTATCCATTTAATGAATATAATAAGGAGCTCATTTAAACTAACTCATTAAACAATACTTTATTTATTTATTTATTTATTTTTGGCTAACCAATGACTTGCCCAGGTTCAGCAGCTAGTAAGTGTCTGAGGTAGGATTTGAACTTAGTTCTTCATGACCCCACATTCAACACAAAACCCACTACTTCATATTGCCTCCCAGGATGTCACACACAGCTTGCCTTACACTTAATTCAAATGCACATTCAGGGTCCCACCAGCTCTATGCTAGCCCAATTTTACATCCTCTGATTCCTTTCATTTCCTTCTTTTTTTTTCCTCCCTCCCTCTTCCTCCCCCATAATCACTAACATTGCCCTTATACAGAAGGAACTTTCTTCAATATCACTCTCCAAATCTCTTTCACTCT